CCGCCATTTTGAGAACCGAAAAAAATTAATGAGACAGCCCATGTCACGTCAAGGGGCCTGCCTCCCATTTTTCTTAAAGAGACATGCTGCTCGCTCCCTCGCTATCCATCCTTCAGTTCAAACAGTCTATACTGCCACCCGGTGGTCCAAAAAGGTACTAAACTCAAAACAAATTAACCAACATTTCTTCTTAAATTTGACAATAATTACTAATTATTGTCAAATTTCAAACATTAATCGTTTATCACAATAATTTCCGAGACAATTAATCGCCAAGCAGAATTTGTTATCGTGACAGGCCTGTTTAGGAGATTGATAACCAAACATATAAATCAATAATACAAATTGAAAAAAAATCCTGATTCATGCTCAATAATCCCAGTAGATAAATTGAACAAGATTGAGTCAGGTCCTCTGGATGGATTGTTCTTTGTTGAAACGTTTCGGCTTTCATCCAAAAAGACTTCTTCAGTCTGAGGAGCTGCAAGTAAACAGTCTTACAAGCAGTAACCAGTTTGCTGACGACAGCCAAAACTAGTTGTTTACATGAACAAGGTCCATGCTCAATAATCCAGGTATAAAATCCAACATAGTTCAGTCAGGTCATCTGGATGGTTGCTTTTTTTTTGTCTGTGACGTTTCGCTCTCCATCCAGAAGGCTTCATCAGTCGGAGGAAACACCGAACAAAACTGACCCCCCCCCCCCCCCCCGCCTACTCCAAAACAGAAACGTAGTTGTTCACATGTACAAAGGAGGACTATCAGCCTAACGACTGATCGTTAGTGCCTTGATGGCTGCTTGCTATTCACAGGAGGCTAAGTGAAACTTGCAATAACAAGATTATAAGAGGGGGACAGTTGGACACAGAAACCTTTGCCCCTGTTTAATGAAGGACAGGTTCTCTTCACAAAGATGACTTCCTTTACTCTCCTCCTTATTTATCCTCTTATCTTAAAAAAAACTAAACGTTTCAACAAAGAATAATTGGTCCAGAGGACTTGACTCAACCTTGTTAGAATACAAAGAAAAAGGTTTTCAGTCAAAGAATATTGACAGAAACATTGTTAAAATGCCTGTTCTCACAAACGTTCAATTCAAGCTGCTTGTTTAAATTAGACTTTCAACAAGTAAATAAAGAATGCACTGATCTGCCTTACGTGGAGCCAAAAGACAAAAAAAAATTGTAGAATTAGAGGACGCTTATGAAATTGACAATGACTCCCTTAAAGAATAAATAAATAACAAAAGGAGCAGTTCTATTTGGGGCCACATTGTCACCAATAAAATGAAATGACTATTGGACACAACTCTTACCATGAATCCTTGATAAAGCACACCTCACGTGTTCAATAATTTAAACAAATAAAAGTAGCCTGATGCATGCTCAATAATCCAGGTAGAATTGATTTAACTTTTTTAAATAAAAGTAGCATTTCTTAAAGACATGCAGATTGCCCACGTTTTAAAGATATCATACAATGAGTTAGAACTCAGACTATATGGTACGTATGACTCTCAGCTACTAACGCACACAATTTTAGCTCTATATCTGTAAAAAATAAAAAGAATATACACATTTTGTGTATACTAAGGTGATTAGCTACAGCAGCCATCTTCAATTAGCTAAACCCTCAAATATGTGACAGTTCACGGGATAATTTGTCAACACTCAGGAACACAAATGTTCGGAGCAAATTCAAGTGATCCCTTCCTTTTTGTCTTATTGGACTTATGTCCCAAGTCCAGACACATACCAGTCCAACAGTTCACACTTTATGATCTGTGCCTTTAAAAGCCACACAGTGCCTGCTTCTTAATCTGTTTTCTACAACTTTAAGTGTTTAGTAATTTAAAGGCCAAACTAACAACAGATTATTTATAAAACTCCATAAAACTATGAGTTGTACTTTTGTTTTAACACCTGGAGCGAAGCGTATGTCACACACAGCTGTGAACATAGTGTTGTATTTCAGTCAACAGTTGCCCTAAATGTTAGACACGGAACGTTTTAGATAGACAACTAGCCAAACTACTTTGTGAAAACAATAAAAAGCTAAAAAAAAAATGCACCAACCTGTGTGGTTGGAAAACTGCACAGAGTTGATGGAGTCCACTTCAAAGCCCAGCACCTGGAAAAACAGGAATGAAGCAGCTGTGAAAATAGAGAACAATAACTCCTCTACAGAACCAGATCTGAACAAGCTTTTAAACGTTTCACTGCGCCGTGGGAGCAGCGCGTAAGGGTCAAAAAATTTATTTTCATACCAGCAAGGAGCCTTCATCCTAAAACAAGGCAAGGAGCAACGCAGGAATAATAGAATTAAAAACAATTATTAAGAATGTCACATTCACATACTGTTCAGGTCTGTCAGCTTCTGTTAATTCTCCAATTCTACCAGACATTTAAAAACACAGATTACACTTCTAGTGAAAATATGTTTTCCGGAGACAATTCAAAGAACAACAAGGCAGGCTGCTAGTAAGCACCTAAATATATAACTGATTTAATTTATTAAAATTTAAAGTTGGTTCTGAATTGTTTTTTTTTTTTGTGTGTAGAGAGACCACTTGTTTGTGTTTTGAATGAGTTATATTTTATGCACAAACGTGTCAGTGTGGTTAAGCATAATAATCAAAACCATCCTTGAAATTTGTCAGGCATGTAAGTTAATATAAAGATGACTGAAAAAGTTCATATTTTAATATAAAAAAAAAACCTCTTGGAAAAACTGAGTCAATCCAGGCTAATTTGAATGAAAAAGACTTTTGCTAAGCACTTTAATAAAAATATTTCTGAATACTGTATTCAAGATATTAATTTCTGTAATCTGAAATGATAAACAGTGCAGTAATTTCTTTGAGAAAACTCATGCATGTTTACGTTAACCTTAAATTACAACGACTAACTAAAATCACAGTACATAACGTACATAATCTGAATGTGTAGTAAACACCCAGACACACTGATTTTATTGATTAATTTTTAATCAGTGAAGAGGGTCTTCAGCTATCAAAACTGCTCCGGGGCCCACAGTTTCTAAAAGCCAGCAGCTCAGGGGCCCGACATCCAGCGGTTAAAGCAATTCTGTAAATAAACCAAGTATTACAATATGATGTTACCTTTTAAAGTTGTTTATTATATTGCACTGAATCATAAATGCCATAAACAGAAACCCAAACCCAAAAAATAAAATAAAATATTTATTGACGTCATTGGTGGGCCGGATTGAAGTCACCCGCGGGCCGGAAATGGCCCGCGGGCCACCAGTTGAATAGCCCTGAGATAGACACATTTTATTTGTAAATAAAAACCATTTCAGCACCTAAACATTGACATGTCTTCACATGTGCAAACAACCAGTGATGAGAGCACCCACACAATGTTGTACCACGTCATTAGTGATATATTAAAGCAGGTTTGTTTTGGATTTACATATTAAATCTGCTGGTTGAACTGTAACACGAGAATGAATGGCCTGGTTGTTCAGTCACAGCAGAAATTAGTTGGTGATGTAACAAGCGAAACAAATCATTAAAAAAAAATAGGAAGTCGCTTTCAAAGACGAACTTCTCACCGTTTGTCTCCGTCATTACTGGACAGAACTGAGCCTCTGAGCAGCGACCAGAAGACAGGATGTACTCACCTGCAGGGGAAATGTTGCCGACTTGTTCCCCACGTATCCCCTGACAACGTGACTCTGAATGGACAGCACTCGGCACTCCATAACCGCAGTTCGCATTAAAAAAACACCCAACAAAGATAAGATTGCTGAAGGAATTTAGCCGGTAACAAGAATTAAAACTCAACACACGCTCTGAAAAACTTGACAAATGAAAAGTAGGTTCGGCACCGAAGGGCACGAGATGTACCGTTGGTTGGAACGTTCCCAGTAATTTTTTTTCAGGCAGCTGACCGGACACCTAAAATGATGCATTCAATGACAGCAGAAAAACGTGGGAGATATGGGTTTACATTTTTCAGCGGCAAACTTTTTTTTTTCTATTCAACTTTACAATTTACAAATTCAGCATTGTTTTTTGTTTGTTTGTTTTAAATAAATAAACAAACAATAAAAAAATTATAAAAATAAATAAATATATTAAAATGTATGAAGTCAAACCCAGCTAATATGCTAATATTTGTCGTGGCTGTAGCTAGAGTCATACCGTCGTACTTTAAACGCTACACGTGCAAAGTTTATGTCAGAAGTTAGACTGTTAGCAAAATATCGCGTGAACCAAAAAAAAAAAAAAGATTTGAACGATTTGATCAACTCAACCTTTGTAAACACGTGCTAAATTCTACAATTTTTACAGATAAAATGATCAAATTTGATGTGCTTGCAGCTGGAAGCTGTTCCTGTCATATACTTTAAGCACTAACAGATTGTGTAAAATCTTTAAAACTGGCATACAAGCCAGTGGGTGATGCATTTCTTCAAAGTTTTATTTCATGAAACAGGTTGTGTTCTTTTGGAAAGATTTTTGTTAAGGATTGACTGTAACTGGCTGATATTTACCATTTTAACATACATAAACAATACATATACCGTTTTATTTAATACAAACCTGACCAATCCAGGTGGTAATATGATTTAAAAACCTGTAAAGGTGTGGTGTAATGTTTAAAAAAAAAAAACAATGTTAAATATAGCAAATATAAATAAAATAGCTGGTTCACATTTGTGTTTATCATTGCTGCATTAACCCTAATGCCCAGTTAAACAATTTTCAGGATGTATAAATGTTGTTTTTGTAAAGAGACACTACAAATGGTGGCTTATTATGAAGCTAAATTGTGTCTGACACTTCCAAGTTTATATGCCTCTGCAGGTTATCATATGGAAATGCCAGTGAGATGATCATCACTCATTCAAGTTGTTGGACTGATATGTTCTAGAAACTGTTTTACATGAACCAATCCCAAAAAATCTGTGTGAAAGCTTTATGCAGAGATATTTAAACTCTGCATGGAGCCCTGTGTGTGGGTTTAAAGCAGCATTACCTTGTCAGTGTGCAGAATGCCCTGTGGATATAAATTCAAATTAATATGCAAGAGATATTTTTTACCAGCAGATGGCACAATAAAACAGGGATTCACTCTACGTTTTTAATTAAAATATTGCACATAAAGTGAAACTGCACTTGCACCCTAAAAGACCTAACTGTATATTTGTCTATAGAGCATGGAAGAGAGAATCTTTTGTTGTAACGTGAAGTGAATAAACCTGTGTAACTCAAACAAACTTGTCTTAACAAAGACAAATGATCCTTTATTTATAATGTGTATTTCTACAGGTATTTGTTTATTAATAAAAACACTTAAACACCGCATGCACACGGTGACTTCTCAAGATGATTGTGTGCAGAGAAAATAATTTCAGGGCTTTCTCACCTTTCACAATCCAACCACAACAGAAACAATACTGAAGCACGTCATGCTTTTGAACTTGTTTAAAGAGCCAGAACACTCTTTATTCTTTTACAAAGAGGCCATAAAAAGAAGTAATCCAACCTGAAACTTAACGATGAGGATTGTTCTTGTTCTGCACTCAACGCAGCTCAGTGATGGGTTGGGAGGAGGAGGGGGTGCTCTACGGGGTCTCATCTCAGTATGAAATGTGGGTGAAAGAGGAGTTAAAGGGATGCAGCTGAAGGGTCGACTGAACAGAACACAAAGCATACTGCCTCTGACACCTGGGTGAGAAGCACAGAGGCCACACAGAAAAGTGGCCGAACCAGGTGGATGAGCTGAAAGCTAATCATCAGAAATATACCCACGGGGACAGCTGCACACTAAAACTTCTGAGACTTAACTGATTGTCAACTTTCAGATTGGCTCATTGTGTGAAAGCTGATTTGACATTTACACTTTTGTTTTCCTGTATGTTTTATGGACATTAAATTGTTCTGCATAATTTGTGCCGTTTTAGTCATTCCTTCAGCAAAACACTAAGCTAAATCAGGAAATGGGTCCTACGAATTAGGATTTTTGTGACTTTCATACTTGAAATTTTTATTTATTTACTTTTTAAAACAAATATTTCCCTCATAAAAATGCATACAGGTTGTTTAAATTTGCTTGTTCTCTTTAAATCTTCTGCAAATCACACAGATTTGGTCTTTTTATGGTAATTTTAGCTTTGAGCAACCATTCTTCTATCAGCTTTCAAAAATAAATAATAAAAAAAGGTTCTTGTCGTGCACAGTGCAACAAATTTTAACTAGCATTCTGCTACTTGTAGCCTTTAGCTGATCTTTTGCCATGCATTTAGTTTGTAGTTGACATTTTGCTTCATTTAACTTTTAACTAGCAATGTGCCACTTTTGACTTTCATTTACAATTTATTTTAGCATTTAGCTAATGTTCTATTTAGATGTAAGAACTCAGTCTCAGAAAATTTCAGCAAAGTAATGAAGCCTGCAGCATCCACACCACATTATGTTTCTCAAATCAATCCCAAAGAAGTGAGACAATAACAACTGTTGCTTAGCACACTGTTTGTTGCCTTTAGGGCTAGATCCTTAAAATATGGTGAAGCTAAAAGGAGAATGAATTATGTTGTAAATTACAAACATATTTTTAAATACAGGATACAATGGATTAGACATGTATATATAAGCCACAAAAAATGAAAAACAGAACGAAGAGTTTTATTATGGGCTATGCATCACAATTGAAGAGGATTGGAGGATTGTGTTAAGGTTTATGACGACAGCACACAGTAATAATCCCTGTCAGCGTTCAGCATTTATTGAGGTGTTATTACAGCTTCGACTTAGTGGCAGTGGATAAAAGAGTCTGGAGTGGTATTTACTACGGCAACTTTGTGTTTACTTATTAAAATCCTCTCATGTTTTTAGGTAAAGCTGCAAATTGTTCAAACGGATTTGAAAAGATACACTGTAAACATTCATTCTCGCAAAAATAAATCCTTATGTTTAAGCTTAGTAAACATAATAACCGAAATCATTAAAAAAAAAACTTCAGCGGTAAAGATAAAATCTAATATTAACATGTATATAAATGAGAAATAATAACTGATTCACTAATTCCACAAAAGCAAACCAATCTGTGTTCTCAGTTCTTCTGAAATGCTGCTACGTCGTCTTATTTGAAATACTTGTAGCAAATGCTTAGTCATACAGAAACATAACCGCTGTGGTTATTTAGAGAAGTAAAACCAGAGAGAACTGGGAGGTGTAAAATACTACATTATGAAGAAAATTAATGTAAACTTAATGTAAAGACATGCAACAGATAATGCATAAAATCAACAATAATACAGTACTGTATTCCAAAATGTTTAGTTTGATCTACTTCATGTTTTGATTATTTGCAGACGTTGCATATTATTTTTTAACTTCATGTATAGATTTCAAATTAGTTAATAAGTCAAATATATTTTGTTCATACAAGTTGGGTGATAAAAGTTATTTTTTGCACTTATAAGCGTACATTGCAGATTAAACTTTAAAATTATAAAATAAAAGAATCATGTGTTGTTAATTTCAGTTTAGGCTAGATTAAAAGACAAAAGTTCATAAAGGGGGACGGAACTTGTTTAATACATCCATTCATCGATTCAGGGGGCGGATCACCACCTGGAGCGTAAACCGTCACCTTACCGTTATTCTGCTCTTCTCGCCGGAAATCCCTCCGCCCGGAGCAGCGGGCCCAAGAAGTAGCTCCGCCTCGGATGCTAACAGCAGGCGGGGAGGAGCCAGGTAGCGGCCAGACTGACACGTAACAGTCCTGCGTGAAATTAAAGGAAGAAGCTGCATCTTTTTCTACAAACTGACTTTTGGAATCACCACCTACCTCACTCCAGACTTGATGAATAGCGGAGCTGTCCCGTCCCGGAAGTCCGTTTGAGCGCCTCAGTTGGAGCGACCGAAGCGGGACGAATCCGACGGGATAGAGCCGACGCTTAAAATGAGATTTTCTATGTTTATTTCTGTCCTGCGGTCGCTCGGCCCGGTGGTAATCGGCATTTCGCTGGGGTTCACGCTGAGTTTACTCAGCGTTAGCTGGACGGAAGAAGCGTGTCCTCTCGAGGGCACCAAGGAGGGCGAGGATGTGACTTCGGGTCAGGATGGTCTGCTCAGGGGAGCCCGAAAGCCCAACTCCGTGTCGGCTGTGAGCGATGCCGAGTCCCAGGAGGGGTTTGAACCAAGAATAGTCCCATACAAACAAGTCCAACCTAGTGCTCCAAAGAAAGTTTTCAGGTAAATTCGAGTCTAAACTTGTTAATTCATTCTAAGTGCGCTCATTAAGTTGCTTTATACATGAAGTTTGACACATAAATGATGACTTTAAGATTTACAATTAAAACACGTGCATGATCGTCTCATCAGTAGTACCCATAACAAGATATAATTCACAATTAGCATCATTTTTCTTGCTCCTTCTTTCTTATCCCCCTCCTATAAGATGCTGTTGGACTAACACTGAGGCTGACTGTATGCCTACACGCTCTGAAGGCTCTAACTTACATTTTCTTCATAAGCAGGCAAACATTTCCAAGAATTTATGGATAGAGACACTGTTTGGATGTTCACCCAGGTACCCAAAGTGGCTGAAGGTCATTTCAGTCCCTCTAAATACCTCAAGGAGAAAGTTTGCTCAAGTTAGACTGGAAAACTTTCACCAACTGACAGAAACTTGTTTCGCTTATCCCAGAAAACGTCAAAACCTAGTAATAAAAGAGCATTTTTTATGGCTCATAGAAAACTACTTATATATTTTTTGTAGTCTATTCAACAACTTTTTATATTTATCCTAATATATGGCAAAAGAAAAAGTAAATTATTTCTCTTGTGATCCTGGAATGTATAAATAAACTTGACTTTTCTTGTCTATTTTATATTGCTCAATTGTTTATCTATTATTCATCTATAAGGTGTGCCGCTATTGTAAGCCACCCACCATTGATGACATGAGAGGTACAAGTCATGGGTAAAGATGAATTGCTTTGCAAGTCTTTGCACGTTTTTTTCCCCCAAAGAGGTTATTTTTTTGTTTTCCTGCATATCAGGTTTCTAAAACAAACAGGATGGAAAGAGATGTTGAATTATCTGTGTGAATGCCTAGTGCTGAACATTTTGCTGAAATCTGCTGAAAAAGCTTGTTCAAGTTGAGCTTCTGGAAGCAGACTTCTAGCTAAAAGCTAAAAAGAGAGAAAAAAAAAACTACCTGAATGCTACAAGAAGAATGCTAACAGCCAAAAGTAGCAAAACACAAGAAAGCTAAAGGTAGCAACAGGCTAGACTAACAGTAGCAGAATGCTAGTTATAAGCTAATGGTGTCAAAACCCTAATAAAATGTAAACTAGTTGTTAAAAGTAGCAACATGCTAGCCAAAAGTTTAAAAACTTTAGCTAATGTCAACAAGCTAGGTAAATATTAAAAAGTAGCAACATGCTAGCCAAAAGTTTAAAAACTTTAGCTAATGTCAACAAGCTAGGTAAAGATTAAAAAGTAGCAACATGCTAGCCAAAAGTTTAAAAACTTTAGCTAATGTCAACAAGCTAGGTAAAGATTAAAAAGTAGCAAATGGCTAGCTAAAAGTTAACAGTAACAAAATGCTAGCTAAAAGTAGTTGAACACATAAAATATAACCTAATCTGTAAATGTAGCAAAATGCCAGCTAAAAGCTAAAACTGTCAAAGCCCTAGCTAATTGTATCAAAAGGTTGGTTAATGCTCAAAGTAGCGAAGCAGAAGCTAAAATTGTGCAGAACAGTAGCTAAAAATTCAAACTAGCCAAAGGAGACCAAAATAACACAAGTACTCTAAAGCAGATTTCCAAGAGAACAATGTTCTTCAAGAAACTGAAGAGATCGTGACATATTTTGATGGGAAAACATGTAAGTAAAGTTAAAAATTTTGAAAAGTGTAAAAGTTACAAAAAAATCCACCCATCTTCTAAGTGAGCTGAGTGTTGTCGTATATGGTTGGTTCTGCAGAAGTTGCTGAATTGCAAAAAAACATTAGAAAATATATAACTGAAAACAACAGTGTGAATGGCTAAATCCGGGTTTACACAATTAGAGGAATCAGTTTAATTATTTTCCAGGTTTTGCAAGTTATTTTTATTAACTGTAATACCATGTACCATAGTTTAAAAACTTGTTGAACGTTTGTCCTATAACTCGGTAAAAAAGCAGCGTTCATCCAGTAGCTCGTTGGTCTGACATGTTTTTCAGGGCCAAATACATAAGCACAGAGCTGGGAATGCGAGAGCGCCTCTTCGTTGGGGTTCTGACATCCAAAAACTCCATCAACACCCTGGGCGTCGCTGTGAATCGCACCATAAGCCATCACTTCGACGCCGTGGCCTTCTTCACCGGCTCGCGCAACCGCAAAGTCCCTCACGGCATGTTTGTGGTTTCTCACGGAGACGAGCGATTGATCTGGAACATGTTTCAGACCGTCAAGTTTATTTTTGATCATTACATCAATGAATACGACTGGTTCTACTTCGTCCAAGATGACGCCTACACAGAAGCTGACAGGATCAAGGCACTGGTGGAGCACCTGAGTGTGGATCGGGAGCTTTACATGGGCCGTCCTGAGGAGTTCATAGGTGGGGAAATGGAGGGGAAGTACTGCTACGGGGGGTTTGGGTACCTCCTGTCACGCAGCTTGCTCCTACGACTTCAGCCTTTCCTGGAAAACTGCAGGAATGACATCCTGAGCTCCAGGCCTGACGAGTGGCTCGGAAGATGCATCATTGACTACACCAGCACAAACTGCATTAGTGAATATGAGGTAGGCTAACCATTCTCAAAAGTGGTATGTAATTACCACCGTTCATTCGCTTCTCTTTTTGTTTGTGCATACAGCACAGTGTTTGAAGGTATAAAATAGTTTCTTTGGTTCAAAATGTTACAGGCTTAGAGGGAAATGAAAGGAAGCAGTTCACGTCTGAATGAATGTTGAGTCGTAAAGAAGTGCTTGAAGACAGAGATTCAGAACAGCTGTGTGATAGGTTACAGCAGGGGGTTCTCTTCTACAGAAAAGCCTAACTGTCCCTTTAGAAACCGTTCTTCACCCCCAGGGCGGCACTTAAAACTGACAGACAGCTATATAGAACTGTAATTACTGTGTTGGCGAGGAGATGGTATTCATATTACAGAGTAGAGGGGCTAATGCCCTTTAACTCCAAGCAGCACCGGGGGCAAAGTGGAATAGGTAAGCAGGTACGGAGTGCACAGCTGAGAGTTCAGCTTAGGTTCAATAGTGTGAAAATCCCCTGTGGGTCAACATGCTTTGCTCCTATAATGTCATTAGCATTTAGGGTCAAACAAGCTTTGTCCCACTGGCTAAAGGCATTTTTTGTGTCTTTCAGCACACTTTGCTTTCATTATCCTTCGCTGCCGAAAGGCAGACAGTGTGTGACGAAGTTTTTGCCCCCGTCTGTGAGTTGCCAAAAAAATATTTTATAAACCCCTGGATAGAGTTTATTAAAACTTTCAGAAAAAAATTGGATGTGTATAAACATCTTTTGGAGTTAATGTGACTCATCCTGGCTTCCACAGCCATTCGTTCAACCTTTATTTATACAGGTTAGTCTCATTGAGCCTCAAGGACTCATTTAATAATAATAATAAGTGCTGTGTGTTGTCATCATTGTATGTTCCCATACAATGGCAAAATTAGTCTGCATTTAACCCATCGCACCTGGGTTACAACCAGGTGGAGCAGTGGGCAGCTATGTAAGCGCCCGGGGAGCAATTGGGGATAGCCGACTGACCTCATGGGGTGGCTGTGGCTGAGTGGTTAGAGCAGTCGTCCTCCAATGCAAGAGTTGGGGGTTCAAATCCACCAGCAGTCACATGCCGAAGTGGACAAGACACTGAACTCCTCTTTGCCTCCGATGTGTGTCCCATCGGTGTATGAATGTGATCTAAAGTTCTGATTAGTCTCTTTAGAATGACATGTTCAATTAGCTTTGTAGAGATATAGTAGAGTGCTGTATGAATGGGTAAATGAGGGCGCAGATTGCAGTGTAAAGCGCTTTGAGTGTCTTGATAAGATAGAAAGGTGCATTTACCTTAAGAAACACAGTCATAACTTCATCAATTTTACAATTCAATTTAGTTTGTTTCAGTTTATTTAGCACCAGTTCACAGCAAATTTCTCAAAGCACTGTACAAAACATCCACATGTATTAAAATGTCAAATAGTATAAGTTATCAATCTATAGCGGCCAACAGATTGCATTGAATTTCCAGTTTGTCCAAACCTCCCATCCTGAGTAAGCATATAGGCGATAGTGGAAAGAAAAAACTCCCTTATTAACTTGACAGAACTCGGGATAAGCAGCAATCTGCCTCGAGTGGCTGGGGAAAGAGGGGACAGGAAGGCGATACAGACAAATACAAAGTGGCTGGTCCAAGTGTACTATCTATGGAGAGAAAGACAAAGAAAAACATGTTTGTGATGGAAATAAATGCAAATACAAACATGAATAGTAGAGCGAGAGAAAAATGGCTACCACTCATAGGATGATTTTAAAGTAAAACTAGCATGAAAAAGGCTGGTGATATACATTCCTTCTAGGAATGCCAATTATTTTATTTATTTTTAATTGTGTTTTTTAAACATAAAAATGAATTGCTAGAGGAAAAAAAAAGACATATATTCTATACACAGGCCTAGATTTTGTTCTTGAGTCATTCCATGGATGTTTAAAAGTTTCATCCCATTTTTCCCCCTTGGCCTCATCCCAGAGCAGTAAGCCATCTTGTTGCACAATTAAGAGGCTATCTGAAGTGCCCTGAGCCAGAAGAGTACCAGTAGAGCCCCTCAGATAAAGGAGAGAGGCAGGGGACAGTTAACAGGCCTGGAATGGTGTAACAAACAGCTCGAACACGGAGCCAGACAACATTTTCTCTTTTCAAAAAGAACATTGATGCCAATTAGGCACGGACAATGCTTCACTAAGTGTACAGCTACAGGCTGCAAGCTGTTGGCAAACATTTGTAATAGAGTGGCCTCGCTGCTTAGTTAAGCAGTGTCTCCAGCCTTTGTTCTTTTAATAGCTTCATCAGATCGGGTTCCCTTTTTTAATCAGTCAAGCTTTACAGGTGGTGACTCTTGTTTTCAGCTTAATCGGTTGTGAGATTCTCTCCGCAAGTTCAGCCTAGTTTTCCTCTTATAGTCAAATGATCAATTAATAAAATACTGTAAGTTGGAACTGGTCAAAGTATGTATCAGTAGGACCAATATTCTTTTATTATCCAAACATCATTTTGAGCAAACGTCCTGGTCTACAGTGAAGGTGAACCTGAAGTCCTGTCCAGATGTAATGTGTATATGAGAGGAAGTAACACTAAAGAACAACAGAGCTTGAAATAACATCTGGCATGCTTCTCTAATGGCATCACATCTTATGAAAAGACCTCTTTGTTTTCTTCTTTTTTAGGGTCTTGAGTACCACCATTACGAGCTTGGAAAAAACTCAGATCCAAGTAAAGAGCAGAATGAACAGTTCAGGAAAGCTCTAACTGTTCATCCGGTGTCTGACCCCGAACAAATGTACCGGCTGCACAGGTACTTCTCTGAGATTGAACTCCAGAAGACTTACGATGAGATCGCTAAGCTGCAGGTAAGCAGATTGCCAAGTCACGAATCACCCGTGGATCAGTCAGAAATAAAATCCTGGCTTCATACATTTTAATATAGTAATGGTTACATGAAAACATAAACACTTTTTGTGTTTTTTTCAGGCAGAGATTAAAAATGTTAGCGTGCTTGCTTTCGAAGGCAATCGAAGCACCCAGTGGCCAGTGGGGGTCAACCCACCTTTTGAGCCCAAATCCCGGTTTGAAGTTTTGAAGTGGGAATACTTCACAGAGGAGGAGATTTATTCATGCATCGATGGCGCTCCAAAGTGTGAGCTGCACGGCATTGACAAAATGGACGTTGCAGATGTCATAGACACAGCCATTGAAGAGCTCAACAAAAAGTACATGCCCACCTTACATCTTAAGAAGCAACGACTCATTAATGGCTACAGACGCTTCGACCCCACCCGGGGCATGGAGTACACCTTGGATCTTCAGGTTGAAGTTGTCAATCAGAAAGGTCACAGTCGTTCCATCACAAAGAGAGTCCACCTGGTGCGACCTTTAAGCCTCATAGAGATTATTCCAATGCCCTATGTCACTGAAGCCACCAGGGTTCACATCATTATACCCCTTACTGCAGAAGACCGGAGCTATGTCAACCATTTATTGGAAGGATTCGCTTCCAATGCCTTCGAGACCAGTGAAAATGCAGTCCTAACACTTTTGTTCATTTATGACCCAGAGGAGGCACAGCATGTTAATCACGATGATATTTTTGCTGGTGTGAAAAATCAGATCAACGTTTACGAAAGAAAATACCCAGCAATAAAAATCCCATGGATAAGTGTCAAGACAGAGATACCATCGCAGATCAAATTTATGGACATTATTTCAAAGAAGCACCCAGTTGACACCTTGTTCTTCCTAGCCCACGTGAACACAAATGTCAATGCTGAATTTCTGAACCGCTGCCGCATGAATTCAATAAACAATTGGCAAGTGTTTTTTCCTATCCATTTCCAGGAGTACAGCCCTGACGTGGCCTATCACAACCAGCCATATCCAGCCGCTGTTGATCTGGTAAAGGATGCAGGACATTTTGACCGCTGGTCATTTGACGAAGCATGCTTTTACAACTCTGACTACATGGCAACAAGATCCCAAATGGTGACAGACATTCAAGAAAACGAGGACTTACTAGAGAGCTTGGATATCTATGACATGTTTGTAAAGTATTCAGGCCTACATGTATTCAGGGCAGTAGAGCCAGCTCTACACCAGCAATACCGCTACCAATCCTGCAACCCAAAACTGAATGAAGACATCTATCATAGGTGTATTCAAAGCAATATGGAAGGCATTGGTTCTCAATCCCAACTTGCAATGCTCTTGTTTGAGCAGGAACAAGGAAACAGTACTTGAAAATACCAGATAAAATCTGCTCCTTCATGTTTTTATATGGATTATTGACACTGAAGAAGATATGAGCAAACAGGAGAAACAAGTTTATTGCCACTTTATGTGACACTCTCCTTTTCTTACAGTGCGCAGCCCAAGTTTGCAGCTGCAGTGACATTCTCCACCGTCATGTGCGCTTTAAGGGCCATTGGTTTGTTCTCTCAGTTAGGTTTGATGAATCCATGTGATGTCTTGTAATGAAACTGGTCCGAGTTCCTGAAACCAAATATATTTGCAGCGCTGACGAATTTAAAAATTGCATCAGGCAATTTTTAACCACTAGAGGAGAGAAACTAAAAGGCAGAGACTTATCATCTGGATGGTGTTTTATTGTAGCATTTGAATGCTAGTCTACAAAATTTTCTTTGGTGGGAAAACACTCCTTAATCTGAAGGAAAATTACCGGAATGGCCTTTGAGTACTGGAACTGGTTAAGATAATTACCAGGCATTGGTCACAGTTAGACATATAATAATAATAATAATAATAATAATAATAATAATAATAATATTAATAATAATAATAATAAAGGCAAAGTGAAAGAGAATTATTGCCGTTGCTACACAACCAGCAGTAAAGGGCTACAAATAAGAGCCATTTTTATAGAATGTATCACTTGTTTGCTTCACAAACTGCTGAATGAAATTCTCAAGAAAACAATAGACTAATGTGAGCTAATGTGCTGGGTACAGCTGCTCATATTTTGGTGTTAAAAGTACAACCAGGGTGGATTGTAAAACCAATTAACCAAAACAATTAGTGGACATACGTGATAAACTTTTGCAGATTGTTGCTTTTCAGTGGTGGTTCAAGCAGTGACACTCATTGATTAGACATCCACATCAGATGTACTTTAAATTGCAGGTTCATGTCAAATGAATTGATTTACAATGGCTTGTTGCACCACTATTTGTGTGCCCCCTTTATTTAAGGGCTTTCAGTTTTTGCACTTTTGATACTTAACTGGTTTGAGTATTTACAAAAGTGTATCTTTGTGTAATGTGCCTTTACAAAGACTTTTCATGTGCTGCCTGTTTTTTAAAATATTTGGTATCATGACGATTCATGTGATCGTTTTCAATGCATGGGAGAATTAACTGTAGAGGAAGCCTGTTGCAGCTGGGAGACTCGAGTGGTTTGGGTATTTTATTTTATTTTTTACGGCAAACTTGGACATACGATGAACCCCAACCAGCTGCATGTTGTAAAAGTGCCTCAAAGCAGGGAGGAGTTCTCCGGTTCGTATCTTTTGGTTTTCATATGCAATACAGGAAGACTTTAGTGACTGATTGTATTTCTTGAAACCTTTTTATTGGTACGAGAAAATTTAAAAGCTTAGGAGCCTTATAAATGCGAGAAATCACTTTGGTCACTGAAGCGATATACGCGTTTTTCGTTGTATTGCAACAAAATAATTACATTAGGATTGTTTTCTACATACAAATACAAGCAAGCAACAAGTTTCTAACTGTTTCAAAGTGTTTTGAGGTGGTATCTCACTGGGTTGCTACTGTTGGAGACTAGTTAGAGACTAAAACTTGCGAGACTCAGTATTATGAGAAAATGCGTAAAGCTTTTGTTGCAGTCTTAACTGATTCGGAGTGCTTGTGACCAGTGAGCCATGCAGATGAGTTTTGCGTGGTAGCGTGGGTTTGAAAATAATTATAATGTGGTTCAGGCTTCTTGGTAAGGTTGCCCCCCTTGATGCTATCATAAGGAGGTTTTATGGACATGTTCATTTTGTAGGAAGACATGCTGACTTAGTCTCTCTAGTCTAGACTTGGTCTTAGTCTGGGCAGCTGTGGCTGAGGGGTTAGAGCAGTCGTCCCTCAATGCAAAAGTTGGGGTTTGATTCCACCACCAGTCACATGCCGAAGTGTCCCTGGGCAAGACACTGAACCCTTCGTTGCCTCTGATGTGTGTCCCATCAGTGTAGGAATGTGATAAAGCTCTGATTATAGACAGAGTGCTGTACGAATGGGTAAATGAGGGCACAGATTGTAGTGTAAAGTGCTTTGAGTGTCTTGATAAGATAGAAAGGCGCTACAAGTATATAAGTACAGTCCATTTACTTAGTGTCTTGGCTGGCCTGGGAGCACCTTGGAGTCTCCTCCCAGAGGAGCTAGAAGAGGTGGCTGTGGAAAGAGATGTCTGGGCAGCACTGCTCAAGCTGCTGCCCCCGCAGCCCGGCTCCAGAACAAGCACAAGATAATGCATAGAAAGATCATTTTTGTGTACACAGGCATGCAAAACTGTATTATTAAACATGCACATGATTCCATCGCCTACCTGTGCATGCATTGTACCCACCTCGGCAGTTGTCGCCACATTTATGATTTGACCTGTGGTACACTTTAAAAAGGAAGATAGGCAGATTTAGACCATATTTTCTATAGTTATTATTTATTATCTACATGGGTTTTAGAACTGGACATGTTTTCTAGTGCTCTTGACATGGGTTTAAGACGAGCAAGGAAACTGAGAATCGCAACAAACACTGCAACACATTCTGGAGACTCATGAATGCTATCTCCATCACAGCAGTTGCTGCCCAGTGAAATACTAACTGTAAGTTAAATATGTTTGTGTCATTGTCCTCAGTTTATTGAGCTCGGTTGTTGAAATGTCTGCGCTCCTCCAGATGTTGTGAAATGCAGTAGGAGGTCCTTTCTGTCATGGATGTAGTGGTACTGAACAAAATTTAAGTTATTCGTAGCTTATTATGTGCAATATTACAGATAATACAGCTGGATAGGCAGCTCTTAGAGGACAGAACTGTTATTTTCAGAAAACATTTGCCTCAAGTACAGCAGTGTGTGTATCACAGTACTGTTTATGACTCATACCTTCTGTTTGATGCAAAGTGAATACACTGTAATTTTGTCGACAGGCCCTTTTAATGTATTTTTGTTCTCGAGACACTTTTTTTACTCCTTCAAATTTACTTTGATACTCATTAAGGCGAGGCGAGTCCTTTTATTTAACTGTAATTGGATTTAATATATATGTAGGAAACACTACAGCCACAGCGGTGGTCCCGAAACAGTGTTTTTTTTCTGTATTATATGCCGTGTGAACACAGAGCGTTGAGGTCAAGTTACGCATCTCGTTTTTAATGAGAGCAGGTTTTTTATTGTGACAGTGCACCAGCTATCTTAGTATGAATGTCTTTTTTTTTTTTTGAAGAGTGTAATGCTGATAATGTGCACCATGGGAAACTGAGTCTTCCAAAAAATAAAGCGAGAATCACTGTGAACAAAGAAGGCTGAGATTACATTATGAAGTTACTGAGATGTGTTGTCTTTGCCTTCTGTCAACACGAAAGGCTGAAAGTTGAGGAAAATGGCAGAATATTTGTCCTTTTTTTTGTTACCACAGTCGTCATTGCCGAGCGAAGGCTCTTGTGTATTTTTTGTTTATAATTTATTTACCTGTCAGATCTCCTGAATGACAGATTTTAAACACTTCTGCACTAACAGAGGCTTTCGTCACATTCTTTGTACATTTATAAATATTACATAGGCACTCTATTTTTAAAAAAACAACCCTGTTTTCTAGTTTTTGCATAGAAATATTTAAATTTTTTTGTCCCCTCCCCTCTAAAAAAAATCATGTAAAAAGCACATGCTATATTATGTTTTGTATTTCGTGGTCTCATAATCATGTCATGAGTTTTGTGCATTCCCTGTTGATTTTGAATCCAAAAGTTGGCTGCAGATATTAGACAATAAGAAAGGCCGAAGTCCACTGGTTTACAATGTTTCATGCACATTGGTACTCGAAAAAACACCAAAGCGGTACATTTTAGGTAATGCACATGTAATTGAGTGCTGCAACTCTCAATAAACTGTGAATTATTGTAATTTTTTTTTAAAATAAATAATATTTGAATATAAATTATCTTTGATTTTCTTCATGTTTAAGTTGAAAAATGGGATTTTTGTATTGCACCTACAAACTCCAGTTTGTCCTTTAGGTGTCAGCACAAGAACACGTTTCCTATCAGGAACGCAGGTAGTGGACTGGTTATTGTTGCTGGTTGTGATGGTAATAAACAGAAACATTTCCAGCACACAAACACACACAAAAAAAACTAGTTTCTGTTCAGTCCAACTTGCAGTATGTTCCAGAGACTGCTGTCAAACATTCCTGCTCATGTTAGACCCGAACTATTCCTGATGTCTGGGTTGGGTAGAAACAGGGAAAATGCTGCGACCTTAATTACAGCTTTAGTTATTTCGAGGGTCTATGTGCTCTACCCTTAGGCATGCTGTAAAACCACACAACTACAGAGCAGCTGGGTTTGAATTGTAAGTCATTATTTTGTGCTTCGTTTCACGTTCAGTCCCAGCACTTTCTCCTCCCCTCGTGGGCACACATTTGATCCAAGTCTTGACGACACTGGCTCTATAAAAGTATTTTATTTTAGGCTTTTTTTATTCTAATTTTGACATTTTGTGGTTCACCTAGACAGCATTAAAGCAAAGTGACACAGCTGTGGAAACGTAGGAACTCATTTTGACTTTATTTGCCACAGTCAGACCTCTAAGGATTTTTTTTTGTTGTTGTGTGTTTTAAATCTTGTGGAACATTCTTCAAAAATAACTCCTTATAGATTAATTTAGATGCATTTCAATTAAAATATAAAGAAAAAAGTATATACAACATAAACTGAACTGCGCTCCGGACTTAAAAGAGTACAGATTATCTAAACTTTAATAGTATTTATTATATTTAACAATTTAAAATCTGTTCTAACAGAGAAAATAAACACATTATGATACATACAGTATGTACAAAAGTGATTCTGGATTTTGCTGGAGTACAATTTCCAGTTCTGTCAGACGTGGGGTGAAATTTCTCTGTAAAATCCTGACAGAAGCTTGCATCACCTTCAACCTGTGTTCTTTTCTCAAACCTCAGCTAAGACATGTTCGTCAGGCAAAAAAATAAAAAAGGCAACC